ATGAGGCTTGAGCTTTGACTTTTTCCTCACCTGTGATTTTGATCTTCCAACATGTTTCTTCTGAAACAGAAACTGTCTGTTGAGATTGCTGACATCAATAGTATCCAAATCAATCTATAAACACACAAGAGAGGCATTTCACTTTCACAGGAAAAAAAGGAACAAAAACCATTAACACAGTTTGAAGAAAAGACAGTTGGCCGAAATGCAGAAACTTTACAGACCCCTTCTCAGATCTTTCAGGTGTCACATCAGACCTACAGCAACTGAAGAGGCACAAGTGGTCACCTAATTTTCTTCAGGAATCCACACGTTATCAATGATTGCTGGCAGGGGATCATGACAAAAGTACAGGGCTACATGAGAACAAACTTTCTGCAGAGAGCCCCTGCTGAAAATGCACCCCCACAGCAGTGAGCAGAAAGTCAATACCAACGCTCTTGCTGGCACAGGATTAAGATTTTAGCAGCAGTTCCTGAGGAGCACAACACAAGCTAGGGTGGGAAAATGCAGAAATCCACTGAGGCAGGTCCAGCCAGCCTCTCCCTGCACTGCCCACCCTGAGCCCTGGCTCCTGCTCTCCCCAGGCCCAGGAAAGGCTGCTCCAAACCAACTGGTCCTTCCACTTTACAGAGCACAGCTTTAAGCACCTGAATCAGTAAATCAAGAGCTGCACAGCTATCTTACACACACACTCCAGGGCAAAAGCTTTTACTGCCTTTTACTGCCCAGGACTAACTGCCTAAGTGCACATTAACAAATTATGAAGTCTGCTGATAAAAATAGAAATCCAATCATACAATCAAAATGTTTAAAAACATACAGCACAGAGCACAAAGGATGCCATGACTGCAATTCCCCCAACAGCTGTTTCTATTTATTATTATATACACAGGAACAGCCTAAATTCCAGTATCTTTAGCCCCCACAAGAATTAAGAAGATTTAACTAGAACTTTGACATTTATTCCTAACTTTGTTATCACTACTTTTTGTGCAATTTCTTTCTTTCTTTGATCAACAACTCTTCTCAGCTTCTCCTGTCTTTAACATTTTAAGGAGGAGAGTGAGAGTTTTTCTGAGCTATTTCAGAGATATATGAGATATTTCTCCCAAATTCCCACAGGTAATTCTGACATACTCAGCACAGTAACACCTTCAGCTACCCAGAGAGCACTCTCAGACTGCCTGTGCAGTGTGAAGTTTAAATGTGATGTACGCAGGGGGTTGGCATACGCTTCTGACTTTATTAATCAAACCTGAATTATGAAAAAAGCATGGTACACACTCAGTGAACATCCTCTGCATGAGAGAGCCAAACCCCAGGATTTAATCTGCCTCTTTTCTGAAGGGAATATTTTCAATTGAAGGACTAAGTTTTAACATACTAAAAACTGCAATAGCTACAGAGTTTTATTTAAACAGTTAATAAAAACACCTGTGGATATGGAGCAAAAAGATACAACATTTTGAAAATATATTATAGAGCTGTTAAATATTCCTACCACTGTATCACAGTAACTACACATGGCCTTGTCTCTTTTAATAAGAATAGTATTTGCATAATTCACATTTCTACATCTGTTCCTTCCTCAAAAGACACACAGAAAGCTTGCTCAGTCCAAAGCCAGAAAGCCCAAGAACTTCAAGGGAAAACAATAAAGTGCAAAACTCTGTTAAAACCTTCACTACCTAAAAAGCTTTGAATATTTCAATTGGAGAGGAAGACAAGCAACATCAGCTCCTGCTGAGAACAAGAACTACAGCATTAAAGGGAGCAAAGAGAGTTCTCCAGAGAGAAAACCTGAGACCACTAGACCTCAACAGAAGCTTCAGTCTACCTAAGAATGATGGGAATTTAACAGCTCACTTAAAGACAACTACACTGTTCCCATTTTGGTAACCTGGAAGAAAAGGCATCATAACTTAACAACATTTACTCATGCTCTTAATTCAGACTTGGATCCTGAAAAAACATAATTTTGTTCTTCATTCATCGGGCAAGGGTATGCCTTTCAACACTATACTTAAGTCATATTAGTTAGCTGTCTGGTATTCAAAACTACTGATTTTATTTTAGTATTAATATTATTTTTTAAAAATCACAACTTATTTATAAAAAGTATTGTCAGACGTTCAAGTTTGTTAATATTTAATAACCCAGGAAAACTCAACAATATCACAAATGTTGACAAAATCAATTTATTCTGTTAATAGCAAATTCCCTCTTTGTGTAACAAGTCTTTTTTACCTTGTCTTGTACCCAGCTGTTCCCTATGTTATCAAAACATTATGTCTTGCATAAAACACTGTCATATGAAGACAGACCCAACACGTATTTAAATCAATGGAGTTCCCCAAAGTCAGCCTGGAAAGGCAATACCAACCCCAAACTATAACAAGGGAAACAATAAGCACCCCCCGATGAGATTTATGCCTAATGACTAACTGGAAAATGAGGAGCTTTAACTCTGCTATAAGGGACTGCAGGAGTACATAACTGACACAGCACAACAGGGGGGAAAAGGAGAGGAACAGTGCAGAAAATGCTTCCACTCCTCTGCAGTTATTTATTTCCCTGGTGCAATGTTCAACTGGATAGCTCTCAAACCAAAAGGAAAAATTGGAATTAAACATATTCTACAAGTTTAAAAAGCATTCCAATAGGAAAGCCCAAGCTGTAAGAATAACAGTAACTGTTTTGTTCTAGAAGCTGATACGGTTTTAGATACAAGCTGCTCTGCTCAACAAGTCTGGCTGCAAACCCCAACTCCTCACAACCTGTCACTCAAAACTCTCCGATGTGACTCCTGGGCACGCCAGTAAAAAGGTACTGAAGGAAACGGACCTATGCTCTAGCTGGATTTAAAACCATATGCTCTTTATAAACGATAAGAAGCCAATAAAGGTCTGGACAGAAGGCAATCATAGTTCCACCAACAGTATTTTTCTCGATCTCTTTTTCATTACTACCCTCACATCTGCCGTTGCCGTACGCATTCACAGGTTAATATCTGGAAGCAAAAGTGAAAGCAGGAGCGCGCGGGAAGCGGCAGCACTGAGGGGTTTCCAGCCCGGGATCGGAAAGCCCAGTTCACCTCTCCGGGGGCTTCTCATGCAATTCATCACCGGCAAAGGAGGCACTCGGCAAAACCAAAGACTTTCAAGCCATCGCCGGGCAGCGAGCACGGCCCAGCGCGGCCTGCGGGGCGGCTCCAGCGGCGATGGACGGCGCTGCCGGGCAGGCCTGACCCGGCGGGGAAGGAGGAGCTCCGCGCCCGGCGGGAGCCGCGGCTGAGGGGGCGGCGATGGCGCGCAGGCCGCGGCCCCTTTGTAGCGCCCCGGCCCCGCGGTCCCGCGGCGGCTTTGCGGGCCGGGGCGCTGTGGAACCGCGCACCCACCAAGCGGCGGACAGGCCCCGCCGGCACCGCGGCCCCGCCGCGCTGCACCCGCGGCCCCGCGCTCGGCCTCCCCCCGCCCGCCCCGGCCCGCTTCCCGCCATCGACCCGCACCACGTAAATGCTGCTGAAGCCGGTGAGCACCAGGTTCTTGAGCAGCTCGCAGCCGATGCCGCCGGCCCCCACCACCAGGACCCGCGCCTGGGACACGGCCTGGGCCAGCTCGGGGCGCAGCGGCCCCGACAGCGCCGCCGCCATGACGGACACGGCGGCGGCTCCGCGCGCCTCCTCACGGGCCCGCCGGGGCCGCGCGCCGCCCGCGCACAGCGCCCCCTGCCGCCCCGGAGGGCCGCGCGCCGCCCGCAGCGCGGAGAGCCGCAGGTTCGAGCCCCGCTGCCGCCGGAGAGCCCCCGCACTCCGGTGCACAGGAGAGTTTTAGTGGGTGTGGTAATTTTTAACACATTTATAGTTCAAATATACATATTTAATATATTTATATGGTTAAGATTTTTTTATATATTATATTATTATAAAGAGAGCTCAAGTAGGATTTGGACAATGCTCCCAAGCACACATTGGGATTCCTAGGGCGTCCTGAGCAGGGCCAAGACTCCAAGATAGGTCCCCTCCAACTCAGCATATTCTATGATATTTTTAATATATTTATTTATAATGTATTTTTATTTTTTATATTTATTTTTATGAATTTACCTAAGTGAACGAACTTGCCTCCAGAAGTTGACATAAGCTACAATTTTTCCTTAAAAACACAGTTTTGCCAGCATTCCATCACTCATGTATCATTTCCTCTCCTGCCCATCTCCCTTATTTTAAAACCACACTTTTAATGCATTAATTTATGTTGCAGCATTAAACCTGTACAGAATGCTCTAAGGCAACTCAAATTACTTTTCAATCAGGGAAGATGCTGCAGTTCAGCTTAAGCCAACAGGGAAGGCACAGGAGACTGCAAACAGTTTTAACTAATGCTGCACAATCCCCCTGCACCAAGGCAGGTGCTGAGCCCGCCCCAGTTCTGTACCTGCGAGAACACAAGGGTTAACTCACCCCTGCACCTTCTCCCCACACAAACCCAGGGCACTGCCACAGCTCATTCTACCACACAAATGGAACCTTTCCTTCACTGGAAAAACACAGAAAAGCTTCATGTTGGAAGGCTGAAGGGACAGCAAGGCCCTTCAGCCACTCCCTTCCTGATTTCCAATCCGTGGACAAATCAAGCCAGAATTGCTTCTTTAAATCAGGCTGGCATTTAGTTCTCCACTGTTGAGTTTCTAAAAACTGGATCCTATGTGGCTGATGGATACTAATAGTATACAGGAAAGGTTTTCTCCTTTATTTCTTTCCAAGTGCCAAGAGTAACTAGAGCTGTGAAACAATCTCTACACTTCAATTTCCATGTGTAACTGAAGTATGCAAATTTTGCCACCACATTTTAGAGTCATGCTAATATCTTTCCATCAGTTATTCTTGGAAATAAGCACAATTACATCAAATTTAATTTTGTACCACATCTGAGGAAAACTCTGTTATGTAATTATACACTTGTAGTAAAAGAAACCAAAACACCCCAGACTTTTGATCTATTCAGACAAATACAATTTATTTAAATAATCTCTGATCCGGGTCTTCTTGTACAAAAATAAATTCTTCAAGAGGAGTTTGATGATTTGTCGGCCAACAGCTTCTCTCACATGTGTAAACTATAGCAGTTCCAAATTCCACTGACAGATCTAAAAACAAAGCAACACAGGTACATAAGAGTATGAAAAGTGACATAATCATGGGCTAGTGCTTACCACTAGACTTCAGTCTTTGCACAAATTAATTCAGTCTCCTATGTAAACAGCATTTTCTAACGTTAAACATTTTAAAGGCAGCCAAATCAGAATTTTCAAAGGGATTTTAAGTGTCTGCAATCTCATCTCACAGCATTTATTATCTTTCAAGGCCTCCTTTAAGAGGCAATAAAGAAAAATACTCCCATGGCCATGGAATTATCCCTACTGCAGTAATCAAAGTTCACTAGTAAACAACTCAAAGCTGTAAACAGAGAGTCTCCATGAAGAAGAGTTCTCTCTTTGGTCACTGAAATCTATAATGGAGACAGCAGATTCTTTGAACTGCGGTTAAGCACGTGTTGATAGCTGAAAACAACTCAAATTGCAGTTCACTGCATTTTCCCAAAAAGGAGACTGTTAGAAATATTGATCCAACCAAGCCAAGCACCTGAGTCACTCTGGAGCATGCTGACCAGCGTGGGCATCAGCTGGAACTCAAACACTCTGCTGCTTCCACAGGTACTGCAGGCTGGAATAGCCTGGTCCAGGTTGGCTGGAGGACACGTGATGAATAAAGGCTGGCCACCCCAAGAGTATCTGAGAGAAGACATGAAGGAAAAAATGATCATTTTTTAAATATTTAAATTTGATAGTAAATCTTACATGTCGGCAACAGTGTTCAAGAGTTGCTGAAATCTCTGAACCTGCTTCAAGTAAAAAACAGGGTTGTGAGTCAGAAGCTTCAAAGGTGTCATGAACCAAAAAATAAAGACAGGGAGGGGGAAATACTTGGTAGGTTAACACTTGGAAAATCCTAAGGAAAGAGCTGGATTTAGAGGAGACAAATGCTTTGAATGGACACCTCCAAAATATGCTGTACCAGAATAATTTCATTAAGTAAACTATGCTTTCCTGGAAAATGGAATCCTGAACAGTGGCAATTGAAGATAAAATTCAACAAGATTTAGCACCAAATTGGTCTCAAAATCACTGTAGCCATGGATCAGAAGTGATGGTTAATTTGTAAGAGCTATCAGAGCTTCACAGCTAGCAGAAAACAAAGACCAAGGATGGTTTCCACTGAATGCCAACCAGGAGATTCTGTGCTCTGCAGGCAAGGGAAATGGGAGTCTAAGAGCACACAGAGAGTCCCCAGGGAGGGCAAAGGGAGGCCAGGGAGGACAGCCCAGGGAGCACCAAAGCTGATGTTTCAGAGGAGCAGCAAATTCAAAGAGCACAATACTGCAAAGTTGTGGCAGCACATTTCTCTCACGCTCAGGATTTTTCATAGAGATGCACAGAGAGAAAACAATTTCTATTTCTGCTCCTTGTTTTTCCTATGTGGAATGTGTTTGGAGAATTGTTTACCTGGAGTGAGTGCTTGGTTGGATTCTGGTGAGGATTGTTTGAGCCTGATGGCAAATCCAACCCAACTGGGGCTGGACTCTCCAGAGACGGTCAGGAGTTGTGTCAGTGTCAGAGAAAGTAGTATGTAGTTTTAGTATCCTCCTTTTATATAGTATATGAATATATTTTAGCATAGTTATAATAAAGAAATAATTCAGCCTTCTGAATTGAGTCAGACATTGTAATTTCTTCCCATTGGGTTCACCTGCATTTACAATACAAAGTGACAGAACCAGTAAAAAGCTGTCTGAAAATGCTACTTGCACTCTGCATTAGAAAATCTCCTGTATAATCTTTGACAATTAATTAAAGTTTCTCATGTTTCTTTTCTGTCTAAGCAGCCACTCAGACTTTTAACTCCTCATTAAAAAGGGCCCAGTTAGTTCCACCTAGTACCTGAAAGTTGGTGAACAAAAGCCCTGTCACTACACTGAGACAGCCTCAACACAGGCAGCACTGGACTCCCTGGAACAGTTGGTGTGATCCATGAAAATCTGTATTTTTGGGTACTATGAATGACTTATGATCTATTCTTCACTATACTCCCATCCAGAATTAACTCCTCTCTCAGGAAGAGCAGCTACTCTGAGGTTACACTTGCTTCTGCTCTAGGAAAAACAGCCTGAAGACTGCTGGGTGTTGAGGGGAGTACATAATGAGCTGCAGCCCTGGGGCTTTAAAACAAGAAATTCCTTGCAGGACAGACATCAGAAATTCCAAAGAGATCACAAAATTTCAGAGGAGCAGACAGCCTTGGAAATGTATCACAACAGCACACCACTGTGTTACACTTCTACCTCAACACTGTCTCTTGGAAACCTCTGCCTGGATTTCAGTGAGGCTTCAAAGACGTATTTCCAATTAAAGAATTTGTTTTGATGTACCAACCATCCATGCCACTGATTTGTATCTCCCTGTTACAACCAGATGCTCAACATACCTTAGAATCTGTTCAGGACATACAGATATTCTTTTCAGGAATTTATGGAATGTGTGGTCCCAGTTTTTCACTTCACTCTTCTCATATTTTTCATTACCATCTTCACCCTCATAACTGTATGAAAACAAGAAACAAACTGTCCACTAAGGTTTTAAACATGGCATAAATGTTTTAAATAAGAAATGGTTATTGTAAACTCAAACTATACTAAATATACTGGAAAAAGATATACAAGTTAAGAGAAAATTCCAGTTAGAGATTGCAAGTGAACATTTTGCTTCTAGTTCTTTGGTTTCTGGTGACTTACAATTACTAACAGAGCTTTCAACTATCACATGTGACTCAAATCCACCAAATGCCTGCTGTATTCCATCAAAACCCATAATAACTTCTCTAACATTTTTGTGCTTTTATAATTATGATGTCTTTTTCAATTTTGAATTGAGCATAAAGTTCTACAATTTTCTAAAGGTCAACCAAAATCAACACTGCTGAGAAGTCTTCTATGCAAATTCTGCAGCTGACAGCAGCTTTAGCTAGAAACAAATTCAATGCTGTCCACAATCCAGGCACAAGTGGCTGAAAGTCCTCACTGTGACCACCTAAGTTAAGTAAAAATACTTATACTAAGAAAATATTTTCAGTAACCACACTCAATGACTGTTTTTCAGGCAACCTTTACTAAACCTTCAGGTGTCTTACCCTCAGCCAGCTCTCTAGCCAAAATCCCTAAAAAATTAAACTCCTAAAAATGCAACTGAAGTGTAAGAAAGCTTTAGCTCTGTAAAGAAAAAAGGGTAAAATGCCCTGACATAAAGTCATGCCATTTGACACAGATCTTGTTTCAGAGATTAACCATCCATTGCACCACCTGGAGCCCATGAACACTGCTCAGTCCCTCAGAAACAGCTGAGCTAAAACCATCTCTGAGTAACTCCACATTTGGCAGCTCTGGGTGCACTGTCCTGTCCTTCCTGCACAGCACCCCAACAGTTCCTAAAGGAGCTTCCAGACAACATCATTCAGGATTAGTGAGAGTCCCATTTAGATTCTCAGTCAGCACACAGGAAACCACACAATTCCTTCAGTTTCACCATGAAATCCAGATCTGTTCTCACCTTTCTGACATCATCTGCTCCAAATCAACACCCTCTCTCTGCTGATACTCCTTCAGTAGCTTATCTGCATGATCTGTGTCAAGGAAACCCATGTAGTCTTCCTCATCCACAACATTCACGTAGAAGGGCTGGAACACAGGAGCTGAACCAGCCACTGCCATCACCATGTCCTCACTGGCTGCAGGATGGGTGTGCTGGGCACCTGGGCCATCCATGTCCTCACTGGCTGCAGGATGGGTGTGCTGGGCACCTGGGCCATCCATGTCCTCACAGGCTGCAGGATGGGTGTCCTGGGCACCTGGGCCATCCATGTCCTCACTGGCTGCAGGATGGGTGTCCGGGGCACCTGGGCCATGGGCAGGCTCTGACAGGTGGAGCTGCTGGAGCTGGCATGCACACTCCACCTCGTTGCTCACGGCTTCCTTTAGGCCAAGCAGCTCAAGGGAAGCACATGCAGGAGCCTGTGCTCCATCACATGCTCCCCAGTCATCTGCATCTTCACACCAATCCTTTGCAGCTAAGTTCGATTCTTGTTTCTGAGAATAAAAAAAATGAAAAAAAAAAACCCAAAAAAAACCAGGGAGAAAACATTGCCAAGGTCTGCCACCCTGACACACTTCAAATTCAGCTTCTCACAGATGGGAGAACTCAGACCTTAACCTAAAGCTCAGTGTTATGCACCTACTCTCCTCACCATGGTAGTTCCCAACACACCCACGTTTACTTCCCACACCAGCAGTTATGGTAAAAACACCTCACACTGGAGAATCTGAGCAAAAATTCATCAGCCCTTTGAGAGGCCCTTGTGCCTCCTGCTGCCATGGCCTGGCTGTGGCACAGCCCCTGCCAGCTGCGGGGGCAGCTCCAGCTGAAGCAGCTTACTGCACCCAATGTGAATTCTGCAGCGAAAGGACAGAGCACACAAGGAAATAAAAATAACACCACCATCATTTTACCAGGCCAAGATTCCACATTACAAATGCACCAACTGAATAAACTCTCCCTGCCCATCTCCACTTGTTTGGTGCCACCCTACTCTACTATCCTGCTTTAGCCAATAGGTCGTTTTTTCTCACAAGTATATTAATAATTATTGAGTCACATTAATTCAAAAGCTCGTGTTAAATTTAAAGAGATTAATTAAAAACAGAAGACAAAGAAAACAGGTTAAAGATCCAAACCTAAACAGTATAGCCCAATCCACATGAAGTTGAAAAATAAAGTTTAGTCAGCTGAACAAACTAAACTATTAAGTATCAGTTTTGGCCATACAGCTGGACTGCAATATCCCCTTTAAAACCAGCCTGGCATAGATCACAAACAGTAGCTTAAATACTATTTAACTGTCTTATAGTATACAGCGTAGTGCAGTGACAAAAACTCTGTGCTCACGACTTCTCCACACAACCACAGAACGTGACTGGAAACCATCACAGAGCGCAGCTTCTGGAAGGTCACGGCTATTTAAACAAGGAGATGCAGGGTGTGCAACTCATCTCATCCTGCTCAGCTCCGGGGCAGAGCGTCCCTCCCGCATTCCCGGCCCAGCAGAGCGGAGCTGTACCTGTTGCACGCCGAGAGCTCGGGTTTGTTTATCCTGGGCCTGCGAGTAGTGGGAGCGCAGCACCTTCCAGCTTCCATGTGCGGGGCAAAGAGAAACACAGCGTGAGGGGAGGACTGGCCAGCAGCAGGAACAACAACAACAACAGCAACAACAGTAACAACAACTCGGCGCTCACCTGCGGGCGGCTCCCCAGCAGCGCGGCGCGGCGCAGGCGAACACGTGGAGGGCGCGGTGCGCGGGGCCGCGCTCCAGCGGGCAGTACACCTGCACCAGCAGCAGCAGCGCCCGCCCGCACCGCGCGCACCGCGGCGGGCCCGCCCGCACGGCCGGCGCCCAGTCCTGCAACACCGACAGCCCCGCTCAGGCCCGGCCGGGGCCGCCCCGCGCCCCTGCCGGGCCCACCCGGCCCCGGCCCGCCCCGGCCCTACCGCGGTGCCGCCCAGCTTGTTGGTGGCCCACGCCGGGAGCGGCCCGGCCGGGCCCGGCCCCGCCATGGCGGCGTCGCGCAGCCCCAGCAGCACGGGCGGCCCGCCCGCCATGGCCCCGCCGCGCGCGTGCACGCACCAGCCGCCGCGCGCGCCCGCGGGCCGGGCGTTCCCCTCACGGCAGCGCCGGCCCCGACCCGGGCCTAACCGGCCCCGAACCGGCCCCGAACCGGCCCGAACCGGCCCCGACCCGCCCCGAACCGGCCCCGAACCGGCCCCTCCCTGCACTGATTCACCCACTCACGGCAGCGCCGGCCCCGAACCGGCCCGGCCGGGTGTTCCCCTCACGGCAGCACCGGCCCCGACCCGGCCCCGACCCGGCCCGAACCGGCCCCGAACAGGCCCGAACCGCCCCGAACCGGCCCCAACCGGCCCCGAACCGGCCCTTCCCTGCCGCGACCCGGCACTGATTCACCCACACCTCCGCGCTGAAAGGCACCGCGCGGCAATTCCGCGGAGCGAGCAGCACCACCGGCACAGCTTTCCAACTTTTAGCAAACAAAGATACTAGTGTGCGTTGGTTACAAGGTACGTGTTTCCCTTATTAATTAGTATTCTCTCTTCTGCTGGTTAATGAGTCTCACACTTCTGCTAACTGCTGCCACGCTCTCTCTCCTTTGGCTCGGCGCTTTCCTGGGTGCTGCTCCAGGAGTTGGTGCTCCTGACCTGCCCCTGAATTTCCCTTTACCCACTCAGAGCTGATTCCACAGAGCTGCTGAGTTCCCTTGATTTGTTTTGTCCTTATCTGGGGGTTCTGCCAAATGTCCTCGTGGCCCCCGAATTCTGCATTCCTCGAGTATCGGTGGAAATCCTTCTCCCGAGCTTTGTGAGCCTCCCCAGGGCTGAGGTCATTGCAACACGTCCAGCCCCAAACCTTAACAGGGCAGTGCTGCTGGCCAGGAGTTTGTGCTTCTACAGCTGGACATCACTTAGAGCTTGTTGGCCGCTCTGTTTCACAGATTAAATCTCCCTCCTTGCTGATCAGGTGTGCAGGTTACAAAGATCAAACAGCAAAGAACATGCTATCTCAATTCAAATTTGCATATTTCACACTTAGCAACAAGATGATCTGAGAAGCAGGACTAGCACAGAACATACTTGGTGACCACCTTGGAAAGGCAATTATAGTAATAATGGACAACAGAAATCAACTTAAAAAAAAGATTAGGGCTTTTTTTGACAGAGTGTGAAGAACAGAACAGCAGCTGTGCTTGCTGAATAGTATCAGTAAATATGCTGCTAACAATTTCTTCAACTATAGGTGCAGCTGGGAATCTGAACCAAGTGATCATGAATACTAAAGCCATGAAATAAAATGAATATATAATGAATAAAATAAAATTAATATAATGGAAGTATCTGCTGTTTAAATGTAGCCTATTCAGTGTGGCCATGGTGTTATTCCTTTCCCAGCTCTTTGACAGTGTCCCAGTCTTTATGTCTGGGGTTTGAAATCCAGAGATGTACAGAACATCAGTCAGAAAATCAGTCAGGACATCCCACAGTCAGAAATGACTTTGTTATCATGTGTGCCTAATGAGAGACCTCCCTTCTACCCAGGACTTGTACTTACGGCTTTGCATTCCCAAAGACACGGCACTTCTTCTGTCTTGTTAGGATAATGATTTTTGTGAATGTACCAGGACAGACACATTGATTCAACAAACACACCACTAATGGACATAAAGGCTGTGTCAGACCAAACCAAGGGAAGGGGTAAGAAATGTGTGACAGAACTGGCAGGATGCTTGCTGCAATGAGCTGTTACTAATTGCCACAACTGGTGTTCTTCACAAGTTGTGGAAAATGCACAAATGGGGGTGGCCAGGTAGCGCAGATGACACTGCTTGAGATCCACAGGTGTGCAAAAAAAACCACCTCAGTTTGTTTGACTTTCCCTTGGGTTTTAAAAGCAAGCTGTACCCTCCACAGCTCTTATAAATCGGTGTGTTTTGTCCTTCCAGTCTGGCTTTGTTTCATGAGCTGTTGCCAAAACTGCATTCTATGTTCTTTCAGTTTCTCTGCTGCCTTTTGCTCCAGGTCTATTCCCAGGTATTTTTCCTCCAGGTCATACAGGGGCCAATGGACCAAGCCCTCTCCGTTGGGATTTCTGGAAATAATAGAAGGAAAAGTTAGCTCTCTGTTTGCCAATCCATTGCTCTCTGTCTGCTCAGGTTCAGAGCATTTCAGAAAACCAAGAGATGAGCCCAGATGATGTGATTCTGGTACCTGAATAAATGGACAGTATTTTATGAAAATGCTCATCAGTGGAACAGCAAAAGTCTAAGAGTTGCCATTAATTTGAGATCTAAACCTCCATTGCAGATGGAGTAACTGCTCTTAGATTTTTTATTGCCTCGTGTCTGCAGGTTCTTTTAAAAGATCATTAAGAAGAGAAATTGCTTCAATATTTAACTTAAATTCTGCCAAATTTCTAGGAACCACCATATAAGTAGTGCTTCAGGCAGGTAAGTATGTTCTGGGCAGCACAGACTAAACTTGAGCTGCAACTGGCAATGTGATTCTCACCCGTTTTTAGCAAAGTTGGTCCAGTATCTCATGACAGTTCTGCTCAGTTTATCTTCTTCTTTTGTAGCACCTCCTGCAAAGGGAGAGATGAAACAGCCACATTAGAAAGTAAATAATTAGTATCAGCTATATCAATTGCAACACTTCTCCTGGTTGCCCTGAGCTGTTGGGAGTTTTTCCTAGGAGAGACCTGCAGATGAATGATGTAATGAAAAGTATCTACTAGTGAAGACAGAAAATGTTGATGCTCATTATAATGCTTATGATCTATAAGTTATACTTATATAAATATATTGTTTATAATGCTTCAAAGAGAGAAATTCTGTTCTAAAGCCCTGCAGTAACTGAAATGAGTAATAATGAGGTTCTGAAAGGAATAAGAAGTAAGCATGGGTACATCACCTGCTAAGAATGGCTTTCCAAAGACAAAGGCAATCTCAGCTCCGTGATCTGCTTTTACAAACTCTGGTACCACACCTTCCACTGAACTCGGTCGATGTTGGAATTCATAGAAGTAGACTGGGTTGCCAGCATCTAGAGGATACAGAAGAGTGCTGCTTTGAGAGCTGAAAATACCTGCTTCAGAGATGATAAACTTCCATGAAAAACTGTTTTGGTTAAATGAAAACACTGCCAGTTCTCTGGATAGTGAACAGTGCTGCACACTGGCCAAACCAGCCCCAGATAGAGTTCTACAGCTGTTGTGAAGCTGCTGGCTTACCTCTGTGGTATCTGGCCACTTCCACAGCTGAGATGACAAAGTAGACATCTCCCATTGCATCCAGGAGGCCATCTCGGACCTGAGCAGGGCTTTCTGCATGCCCCATGTACTCCTGGTACACTCTGTCTACAACTTCAGATGTAAGGCCCTGAAACAGCAAGAAAAAGTACTTGTAAGGATGAGTATTATGAGGAGTAACAGCAGTGAGTGAGTGTGGCATCTGCACATCCCTGGCAAATCCTCAGCAACAGCTTTCAGAGAAAACCCTCAGCTGTGCCAGAGTGTGGCTTGGAGCTCAGGATTGCAGTTACACAGCTCTGGGTACGGGTGATCTCAGGGAAAAGAGGGATGCAAGATAAAAGGATCAGCCACCTTCAGATAAACAGCAGTCAGTGATGCTGATTGTTCTCTCTACTGTGGAAACACCTTCATAACAGCACAGAAATCCTGCTGGATTCCATAAACTCCATTGATTGTTGTAGCTGACCATAATTTCTCCCATTCAGAACAAGCCTGGGCTCTGCATTTCCAAGTCCATGGTGGAGGTTGGTGTCATTGAATGATCCTTGTAAGTACTGGCCCTGCTTCTAGAGTCCTTAATTCTTACCTCTTAATCTGTTTCTCTAGGTAGCAGTTTCAGGAGAGTACAAAGGCACCACAAAGCCAAGAGATTTGTACATTACAGGGAAGCAAAACCTCAAGAAACCTGAACAAAGGTGTCAGTGCTCCCCAAACCTCTCGGGCTTTCCTTTCCAGAGCCCAGCTGCTGCTTTAGGAGTCGTGTCCCATAGGTCTCCTGCCATACCTGCTGGCACTCTGCACGTCTTGCACAACCTGGGGGTATCTAAAATGTCCCAGGAGACCTGTGTTTAGGTACATTGCCACTGAACTCCTTTTTAAGAAGAGGGGCATTTAGGCTGGAAATGTAGAGAGTATTTCCAGTCACTAGAGGTAACAGGAATGCAGCACATCTGTGCCCATGTCTGTCCCAATTCAGGGAGCTGTCCAGCACAATGGCATTTCCCTGTGGAATGTGTCCCTCCAGGGGTAATAACAGCCAGAGCAGCACAGCAGCAGCACTGGGGTATTCTGTATGGATATGGGTTATTCTGAAACTGGTCACTTACCTTATTTAATTTTGCTAAATTGCTCTTTAAAATTTGACGTGCAACATCTTTCTCCAGACCATCCACAAAAGGATATTTCATTGCCTGTATGATACAGAGAATCATACTTAATAAAACAGCCTCTATTTACAAAATGATGTTTAAATAACAACAATATAATTCTCTTACCATAGGAATTACCCATCCGAATTCACAGTTATTTACTCCTATTATGTATGGGACCTCATTCATTGATTTTTCAGATAGCAATTCCTTGGGACTTTTTGGAAAAAATGCACCATCTACACAAGTATTGATCAAAAAAAAATCCTGAACAAAAAGAGAATAAAGAAAAAGAAAGCTTCATTAAAACATTCATTCTGCCTCTTAAAGAAGTTCAGATTTTTACTGCGGTTCCAAACTGAAGCCAAATGTGTATACAACAAATAATATTATCCAAGCCATGTTAAATTTTTTTTCTGACTGATTTTCTGCACTAGGCAGGAGGTTCTCTGAAGATATTTCTATTGTTTGTGAAGCAGAAGTTATTATGTTGAATTTACATTTTTCTTAGTTCAATATGGGCATGGATGTGTGGAACAGTGGGGAAAAACCACTTCTGTATTGAAAATTCAAAGGAACATAAGCATTGTGATAAGAACTTTTAAGCAGGACATAATATATGGTTTGATTTTCAGTTCTCCAGAATCATCTGTGCCATTTTCTTTTCCTTGCCCTGGGAGAGCACAATAGCAAACCACAGGTGATTCCAAGTGCATGCAGAATGGAAGGGCAGGAACCTGTTTGCAATTTTCAGGCAAGGTGTCATTGCACACCTACAATGCTGTCATGTCCTGAAAAACCAAGAAAAGTCACATTTTACATCCACTTCAGGTTTGAATATTAAGGCCCACAAAGAGCTTTTGTTATGCAAACGTCTGAAGTGTCATTGAAATGCACAAAGTATCATTTCACCTACCATTTTCAGTGTTATCTGTAGTAGTTCTTCTTCTGTTTTTCCTCTCAAGCATTCAACCATTGCAGCTGAACTGGACTTTTCACAGCCAGAGGCAGCAGCAATTTTCTGCAAGCGGTGAGAACAAACAGTTTTGGACACGTTTGCTGTGTCTGGCTCTGAGACAGTGAGTCCAGCAGGAGCAGGCAAAGCTCCTGCACAAGGGCTGCTGGAGCCTGCCTTGTCCCAGCTGCAGAGGGAGGGCACTGGATGCCCTCACAATCCTTCACACCATGAGCTGGGCAGAAAGGGAAAACCTCTTCCTTCAGCCTTTTTTGATACAGAAATATTCTAAGACAATTGTGGTAAATAACAGGCTGGGCTGAGGAGGCTGGGTGACATGAAGGAGTTAGAGAATAAACCATCTGCAGGGGAACAGAGAGCTGTCATTAGAGAGAGCTGTCTCTTATATCCCAGGTTCCCGGTTCTGGAAATTGTTCCTTGTAGTAAAGGAGTAGAAGCCTATAGTTCTCAAATTAAAAAAAAAAAAAAAAAAAAGCAACACATCCTTAAACATGTATTGCTTGCACACAGAAATACTGTCTTTAGTGTCTGCTTTGATTCACAAGGAAGAAACCATGTTTCTATATTTTGGACAGAACAGCTTAAGATACACCTTTGAACTACCTGGGAAAAGTAATTAAAATTACCAGTAATACCCACTTGTGCATCCTCCTTAGGCTGGTCAGTGAACAAGCCCAGGGTTACAGTGCCACTCTCTGAAATGGCCTTGTGGAACAAGCCCTTGGCCAGGGGAGATAAGACCTGTGAAAAAGCAAGAACAAGCATGTCAAGCACTGTGTTCTAGCCATGGATTTTGGATTTCAGTATCAGCAGTGGCCATTTGGAGTATTTTGAAAGCCCATGTGGTAAGAGTGTCTTTGTGTAACCTCTGACCATAGTCCAGCTGTGCAAAGTGCTTTGGCAGCACTCGCAGGGATGAGGAGTTCAGTGCCTTTCCCCTCCCACTGCACTTTGCTTCCAAAGCTTCCTGGCACCACCCTGCAAGGCAGGTACAGAGGGAATGTGCCCAAGGCAGTCTGCTCTGCTGCAGAAGGGCAGGAAAGAGCTTCTGGCCAGAGGAAACAGGGATTTGTCTGCCATGTACAATGGAGCCTGGCTGGGCTGTGTCACCTGTACCAAAGTGGGAGGGACGGGACAAGGGCAGCGTCACAGCCAATGTGCTCTGTGCTGGAGTAAAGGTGTTACACAGTCACTGGGTCACAAACTGCAGGGCTGCATCAGCTACCAGGACTATTCACCTCCATCACTTTGCACAAGTGGCTGTCAAAGCAAACAGAAAATGGGCACGAGCCACAACTCCTCGTAAAGGACTTTTCTCAATGAACTTAGACTTTGAGGGTTTTTTACATTGAAAAAAAAAAACAAACCCGAAACCAAGCAGACTTCAATTCAGCAGATAAGGAATGACATGACATGCTGTTACTTAACTACAACCTTGGAGTATGAAAATTACATGTTTATCATTCAAAATCTGTATTGTTTTGCGGTACTGCTGCCTCATTGTTGTCTCAAATACCCAGGTGATGTGTCACTGTAACACCATCCCTTTTCTCTCACTGACTTCTCATGCAGATTCTGAAAATGGATGGAGGGGTTTTTATCCTCTAAGTAATTCAAGTTCCATATTGCTGTGAACTTACAAGAGCAGAAACACTGATTCCTCCTGCAGATTCTCCAAAGATGGTGACAGATCCTGGATCTCCACCAAAATGCATGATATTTTCCTGAATCCACCGAAGAGCTGCTACTTGGTCTAAATATCCCCAGTTGCCTCGGGCATGCTCATCACCAGTGCTGCAGGGACAGAACAGCTTTGTTCAAATGCTCAGTGCAGTCAAAGAGGCAGAAGGAAATACAATCTGTGGTGTGAGCAATCATCTGCCATTCTCTACACAGAACCTCTCTACACAACTGAAAGATGAATGGCTCGGGAAGCCCTGAGACTGGAGCAGCAGCCCCACAAGAACAGATCTGGAAGCTGCCTTGGGACTGGAAATTGTCCCCAACGCTTGCAGGTGCAGTTCAGAAATGTTTCTTTGCATAAGCAAGTCTTCTGCATTCCTCTTTACAAAGGCTTTGCACACATCCTTTTGCAAATCACTTTGGCAAAACAGATCAACCAACTTACCTAAAATATCCAGCAATACCTAGTCTGTACTGAATTGTTACAACCACCACGTTGTCAAAGGCTGCCATTGCTGAGCCATCATATGATGAAGCTGCTCCAACAAGTAATCCACCTCCATGGATCCATACTAAGACCTGGGAAGAGAAAAACGGGATCAACCCAGCACAGGTAAGAGCCCCCGGTAATAAACACTAATTATAGCCCAAGATATAACATTTTGTGCTATTTCAATCCTGATTCTTTCAGAATACATTTCAGATATTGCAGAAATCTATTTAAATATAAGGCCTGCAGGTCTACAAAGTGGCACTGATTTTGTTAAGTGCCTACACTGTGTCAGTGCCCTGTGACTTTGGACAGATCATTTAGATTAAATCTAGCGCTGCTTAGTTACAATGACAATACAATTTTACTTGTCAAACAGGATTTTGTGGCTCTTTCCAATTTCAGCTAATATTTGCTGGGGCCAAGCATGTGAGTTGATCATCACTACCAAAGTGCCCCTGCACATCTGCTCATGGCACAGGTTGAGTGTTGGCTGTCAGATAATTTTGCTCAAGGTGTTGTAAGATTTTTGCTTACAGGCAGCTTCTCCTGTTTTCCTGTAGAAACGGGTGTGTACACATTTAGGTACAGGCAATCCTCAGACACTCGCAGAGGAACTTTCTCTTTTCTGTTGGTAATCATATCTGAAATATTCTGTCCTTGTACTTGGTCTTGTAGACACCTAAATAAATGGAAAGTAACAAGCAAGAGAATTCACTAAAACCAGAAAGCTGTGAAGAGAACTTTTTTGTACTTCCACAACAAAGTGCCAACCAGAAACCAATCTCTAGCACACTTCTAGATTGGTTACAACTGCAAACATACTATTTTTTTGCTTTTAGTATGTTTTTTTTATTTGACTAGTCATTAGTGAGATCTGTAAAAATAAAGCCTCTGCAGTAGAGAGTGACATGTAGATACACTTTAGCATGTTTCAAAATATCACAGAACTATATCACCAAATACATAAGGTGTGGTGGCTTGCATGGGAGGCATTCACGGAAGTGCTGCAAAGCTTCTAGGCACTGGAAATCTCTACATGTTTCTGTGATGGACACGTGTTAAAGACAAAGGAAACGCAGGAACTTCCTCGTTCTGCTCCCGTGGGCACACAGGTGCCGGGACCGAGCCCTGGTTGGGGCCCTTTCCTGGGGCGCCCACCCCATGGGGGCTGGCCCGGGCAGGGGAGCCGCGGGGCCGAGGCGGCCCGGGCCGTGGCTGCCATTTCGTGCTGCCAGCCCGGGGCCAGACAAATCCACCCGCCCCCAGGAGCAGCCCCGGGCCGGGCCAGCTCAGCCAAGATTCTGCCACTGTTGAGGTTCGGCCACGAGCCCTGTAGAGGGGGAGGAGAAGCCATCAGCCCCCCCAGCCACGGCTCTGGCTGCAGGGTCCCGAGCTCGGCCAGGGCCAGTGACCATCAGCAGGCCCGGGCAAGACGTTTATTGTTCAGTGCTTCCATCCTCCCGCACGGGAGAGAAAATAACAAAAGGCAATGTGGAGGAGCAACATGAAGACACAGAAGTCAGTGAAGAAGTCCCAGATGGGAGGGATGAGGAGATACCTTGATCCTGGGGCTGAAATCCTCTTGTAAAGCTATGGAGAAAAGACTTTTTCACTATAACGCGTGAAGGTATGGGGAGTCAAAAGTGTTCAAATTGTAGATATTGAGCAAAAGCCTCCATACTAAGTAAGCAGATATTAAAGTAGCTGTGATCCTGTGAGAAGTTTGAACAGAGAAGGAGAGAAGAGTGATGAAAATCCTGTGCCCCCAGGAAGAAGAGGATTTCTGAGATAGATAGTGAGAACCTTTGCCTTTGAATAGGTCACTTTAAAACAGTACCCCATAAGTTGACATGGCCCATGACCACAGCTGTGGGAAAAGCTTGTGGAAAATGGAAAGGATTTCATGATTGCAGATTTCCAGAGATGGCTGCTATTCATGAAGAGAGCCACAAGAGAACTGTTTTCTTGTGGAGAAGACTCCATAACATTAACAAGAGGAACTACTCTCTGTAAGTGAATTGAAGAAAAGACTATTCTAAAGGTGGTAAAATGAAATTTAGGGTTTTGTTTCTTTACATTGTCATTGGGAAAGAAAAGGTTCTGAGGAGAGGAGAAGGATCCTGAAAATTTTGTTCTGATACTTATTACTCTTTCTTTTAGTAACCGTTAAAAAGTTTTTCTTTATATTCTTTTAATGTTTTGAGCCTGCTTTGCCTTCCCCCTGGTCCTGGCTCATAGCAGAAAATGTGTGAGTGCATTTTAGTGAGTGCAGTGATGATTGACCAGCACTGAACCCACTAAACTCACTGGGGCATTGGCTGGGAAATCTCAAACTGGTGAACCAAAACTACTACAGTATGGCTATAAATTACTTCAATGAAAATGTAAATTAATCATTTCACATCTCCAATAGCTTTTTACATTGCGATGGTAGATATTAGGCTTGAGTCACACAACAAGTGCAGTAGGACAACAGGAGTGAGACATTTACAAGGTAGCTTAGGATTGCTTTGCATTTCCTATGTGCCCTTTTAAGCACTTGATTCAGCATTTCCCCCCTAATGTTGTATTCCAACATTTCCTCAGCTTCTTTCTGTCTCTGCTCCAGAGCTTTAAAGTGATGGGTAAGTGCTCATAAGCCAGAGCACTGCCTGCAAAGGGCTGCTCCATCTCAGTTCATCACTGATGCCTGTGAAAGAGCAGCTTTTGGGAAGGAGCAGCTCACAGAGTGTCTTTAGAAATGCATCCACTGGAACAGCTGCAGGTGCAACGAGAGGGCACCAAGGAATTTGTCTGTGTGGATGGCCCTGTGTGCACATCAGTGCCATGGAGGTGCACAGAGTATAACATCTAGAAAGCTTCAGTGGTTTGATCATGGCCTTACATTGGTGGGTAGGAAGTGGCATCTCTGACACCTTCCCAAGGCTCCGGTGGCTGGGGTTCAGAAAACCTCAGGGATCCAAGTGGAGGCTTAGCAAAAGGAAGTCCCAAAAAGACATTTACAGTCCTCTCAGCTGTGTCCACTGTGAATGGGTAGCCTCGGACTCTCCCATATTTGGTCTCCGCTTCTGGTTCTTCTGTGGGACAGCAGCACAAAATCACATCATTGCTCTGTTTGGAAGTAATTGCTAGATTTGCTACTTAAATATACATCTTTTCTTCCCTTAAACAAATAGTTTTTATACATAAAGCTTCAACAAACTCTCATCAGATTTAACAGTATGCTATTCTAATCTGCTATTTTTTTTTACTCTTTTATTTTACTAATTTCATTACTAGTGTTTACTTGTTTAAATTTTAGATTTACTAATTTATTCAAACACATTTTATTATACCTTTATTAAATCATTGTAGCTGACATTATTTCAGCCTTCATTTTGATTGGTCTGTATGTACAATCTCCTTCAGGTATGTAATTTGCACTGTCTCACCACACACACTTTCGTGGTTGCATATAGATCTTAATGTTTTGTTTTGCGCTGGGTTGTTACGTAAAAACCCGATAGGTTGCTCTCATTAAGAAAAGACAATAATCAAATTATATTCCAGATCCTTGATAAAGCTTCTAACATAGCTAAAATAGTCTGGCACAAACAAATCCTGTTAACATTTAAGCAAGAATCATTTTAAGATCTGTGTGAATGTTCAAACATCAAATTAGAGATGTGGTACTGTGGCTGTTTGGCCTCAGCAGGCAAGGTTTTGGGACAGGGATTTGATTTTGCTATTTGCAAAGAAGGCAAGTAAGACAAATGACTGAAAGCAGATTAAAAACTGAAATGAAATTACTGCTACTGCAGCTCAGTTTGTGTGCCCTGTTCAGCCCAGGGTTTGTGCCCATCTCTGCCCAGAGTTTTTGGTCATCTCGGCACAGGATTTCTGCCCAGCTCAGCCCAGGTTTTATGTTCAGCTCTGCCAAGAGATTGTGCCCAGGTGTCCCCAGGGTTTGTGTGTATCTCTGCCTAAAGGTTGTGCCTAGGTGTCCCCAGGGTTTGTGCCCATCCCTGCCCAGGGTCTGTGCCCATCCCTGCCCAGGGTTTGTACCCATTCTTGCCCAGGGTTTGTGCCTATATGTGCCCAGGGTTTGTGTCACGCCCTGCCCAGGGTTTGTGCCCATCCCTGCCAAGGATTTGAGCCCATCCCTGCCCAAGGTTTGTGCCCATCCCTGCCCAGGGTTTGTGTCACGCCCTGCCCAGGGTCTGTGCCCGTCACTCCCCAGGGTTTGTGCCCATCCCTGCCCAGGGTCTGTGCCCGTCACTCCCCAGGGTTTGAGCTCATCCCTGCCCAGGGTTTGTGCCCATCACTCCCTAGGGTTTGTGTCCATCTCTGCCCAGGTTTGAGCCCATCCCTGCCCAGGGTCTGTGCCCATCCCTGCCCAGGGTTTGAGCCCATCCCTGACCAGGGTCTGTGCCCATCCCTTCCCAGGGTCTGTGCCCATCCCTCCCCAGGGTCTGTGCCCATCCCTTCCCAGGGTCTGTGCCCATCCCTCCCCAGGGTCTGTGCCCATCACTCCCCAGGGTTTGAGCCCAACCCTGCCCAGGGTTTGAGCCCATCCCTTCCCAGGGTCTGTGCCCATCCCTGCCCAGGTTTGAGCCCATCCCTGCCCAGGGTCTGTGCCCATCCCTGCCCAGGTTTGAGCCCATCCCTGCCCAGGGTTTGTGCCCATCCCTGCCCAGGGTCTGTGCCCATCCCTGCCCAGGTCTGAGCCCATCCCTGCCCAGGGTCTGTGCCCATCCCTGCCCAGGTTTGAGCCCATCCCTTCCAGGGTCTGTGCCCATCCTTGCCCAGGGTCTGTGCCCATCCCTGCCCAGGTCTGTGCCCATCCTTGCCCAGAGTCTGTGCCCATCCCTGCCCAGAGTCTGTGCCCATCCCTGCCCAGGTTTGAGCCCATCCCTGCCCAGGGTCTGTGCCCATCCCTGCCCAGGTTTGAGCCCATCCCTGCCCAGGGTCTGTGCCCATCTGTGCCCAGGTTTGAGCCCATCCCTGCCCAGGGTCTGTGCCCATCACTCCTCAGGGTCTGTGCCCATCCCTGCCCAGGTTTGAGCCCATCCCTGCCCAGGTTTGAGCCCATCCCTGCCCAGGTTTGAGCCCATCCCTTCCAGGGTCTGTGCCCATCTGTGCCCAGGTTTGAGCCCATCCCTGCCCAGGTTTGAGCCCATCCCTGCCCAGGGTCTGTGCCCGTCACTCCCCAGGGTCTGTGCCCATCCCTGCCCAGGGTCTGTGCCCATCACTCCCCAGGGTTTGAGCCCATCCCTGCCCAGGTTTGAGCCCATCCCTGCCCAGGTCTGTGCCCATCCCTGCCCAGGTCTGTGCCCATCCCTGCCCAGGTTTGAGCCCTCTCTCGGTGGCCCCGGGAGGCAGCTGCAGGTGCCCTCTCGCCCTCCATGCCCGGGGCAGTGGCCCCGGTGTTTACCTGCGGCCCCCAGCGCCGTGCCCCCGAGGAAGAGGACGCAGGCCAGCAGCGCCGTGTCCCTCGCAGCTGCCATGGTGCCACTGGCCCCGAGCCCGCTGCCCGGCCTTTATCGGCCCGCCCTGGGCCCCTTCCGCAAGGCGCACCCGGGCGGGCGGGGCCGTGCCCGCTGCGGGCCGGGCCGGGCCGGGCCGGGCCCTCCTGCCCCGCGGGGAGAGCCGCTGCCTCCCGCCGCTCCTCCCGAGCGGCACCGCCGCAATCCCGGCACAGCGGCTCCAATCGCTCCGCAGGCCCCTCGCATTCCCGAGCGCTGTCCCGCTGCTGCAGCACCCCCGGCTGCCGCCCCAGGGCAGGGTTTGCTCGCCCTGCACTGCACACGGCCGCGGGCACCTCGACTCCAGCTGCTGACATCTGCTGCACTTGGTGTTAGATCCATCCCCGAGTGACGGGCACCATAGAGCCACGGCCAGACCAATACCCCTGGGAAGTGTACTTGTACCGAAGGAAAACGGAGCGATTTTTATTCTCAGAAAAGCCTATTTTCTGACAAAATAACCAATACTAGAAAAATCCCAGCTCTTCCTGCGGGTGCAGGAGACACCTGTCACTCAGTTCTGTGTGCTCAGGGTTGGTTGGAATAGTGTTGCAATACAGTAACAACAACGAGATGAATTATCAGCTTTTGTAACGTGGGAGCAATATTAAGTGAGTGGTAATTTGCATGGTAACTCTACATCTAAAGCCTCTGGGAAATCCAGAGGATTTATTTCAATACATTTCACATCCATAACTGAAGGATGATATGAAAAGGAGAGATTTTCCGCTCACATTGACTAGGAGGTTGTGTTTGTTTTATGCAAGCATTAGGCTCTACCTTTTTCTTTTTTTTTTCCCCTGACTCAGTAGCTCTTGCCCCAGAAAGGCAGTTGTGCAATTTCAGATCATGGGACTTCTCAGTTGTCAGAAACAGCATTTCAAAGAATCAGAGGATATGATGACAGAATGGTTTGGGTTGGAAGAAACTTCAAAGTTCTACTCATGCCACCTCTGCCATGGGCAGGGACACCTTCCTGTCCAAGCTGGCCTTGGGCACTGCCAGGGATCGGGCAGCCACAGCTGCTCTGGGCAGCTTGTGCCAGATCTCAGCACCCGCAGAGGGAGGAATTTCTTCTGTCTGTGTGATTTAAAGCTACCTGATCTGGCTTGAAGCCATTCCCCCTTGTCCTGTTGCTACACGTCCTTGGCAAATGCCCCTCTCCATTTTTCTTGTAGGCTGCCCTGGGCTACTGCAAGAGGCTCTAAGGTGTCCCCAGAGCCTTCTCCTGACTCAGCTGAACAACCCATCTCTCTCAGCCTGTCTCCACAGGAGAGGTGCTCCATTTCTCCAGATCCATTCCTGCTCACACCTCTCTTTACAGCTCAGTGGCTTACAAGACTCACAGTCTTTCAATTAGTTTAGCACATCTGTTCTGCTCCTGTTAACCCTGAGTGCAGTGGCTGTGCTTGAGCACTTTACTCCAAATGCTCCTGGTGTACCTTCCTCCAAATCTTCCCCCGTGTGGTGCACAGGAGTGATTTCCAGCCCCTGCAGATAACCCCCAGTCACCTTTAACCTGGCTGCTCCCAGAGCAAACTGGTGGCAGCCCTGCAGGTGAGCCCAAGCAGTGCTGGCTGTGTCTGCAGCCTGTGCTGTGTTTGTGGTGGCTCCTGAGCTCTGCCCCAGTGCCCTGCATGCCCTGCCAGGCTGTGCTGGGGTGCAGCTCCAGAGGCTGAGGGCACGGCCAGCGCTCACCGGGCTCTGGCAGTTGGGGAACACTGTGAGTCTGAGCTGCTGAGAAAACAATGAGGCCTAGAAACTCACAATAAATTATAATGAATACACTGGAAAAAGATATACATGTTAAGAGAAAATTCCAGTTAGAGATTGCAAGTGAACATTTTGCTTCTTGTTCTTTGGTTTCTGGTGACTTACAATTACTAACAGAGCTTTCAACTATCACATGGGACTCAAATCCACCAAATGCCTGCTGTATTCCATCAAAACCCATAATAACTTCTCTAACATTTTTGTGCTTTTATAATTATGATGTTGTCTTTTTCAATTTTGAATTGAACATAGTTAAAGTTCTACAATTTTCTAAAGGTCAAGCAAAATCAACACTGCTGAGAAGTCTTCTATGCAAATTCTGCAGCTGACAGCAGCTTTAGCTAGAAACAAATTCAATGCTGTCCACAATCCAGGCACAAGTGGCTGAAAGTCCTCACTGTGACCACCTGAGTTAAGTAAAAATACTTATAGTAAGAAAATATTTTCAATAACCACACTCAATGACTGTTTTTCAGGCAACCTTTACTAAACCTTCAGGTGTCTTACCCTCAGCCAGCTCTCTAGCCAAAATCCCTAAAAAAAATTAAACTTCTAAAATTGCAACTGAAGTATAAGAAAGCTTTACCCCTGTAAAGAAAAAAAGGGTAAAATGCCATGACATAAAGTCATGCCATTTGACACAGATCTTGTTTCAGAGATTAACCATCCATTGCACCACCTGGAGCCCATGAACACTGCTCAGTCCCTCAGAAACAGCTGAGCTAAAACCATCTCTGAGTAACTCCAGATTTGGCAGCTCTGGGTGCACTGTCCTGTCCTTCCTGCACAGCACCCCAACAGTTCCTAAAGGAGCTTCCAGACAACATCATTCAGGTTTAGTGAGAGTCCCATTTAGATTCTCAGTCAGCAGACAGTAAACCACACAGTTCCTTCAGTTTCACCATGAAATCCAGATCTGTTCTCACCTTTCTGACATCATCTGCTCCAAATCAACACCCTCTCTCTGCTGATACTCCTTCAGTAGCTTATCTGCATGATCTGTGTCAAGGAAACCCATGTAGTCTTCCTCATCCACAACATTCATGTAGAAGGGCTGGAACACAGGAGCTGAACCAGCCACTGCCATCACCATGTCCTCACTGGCTGCAGGATGGGTGTCCTGGGCACCTGGGCCATCCATGTCCTCACTGGCTGCAGGATGGGTGTCCTGGGCACCTGGGCCATGCATGTCCTCACTGGCTGCAGGATGGGTGTCCTGGGCACCTGGGCCATGGGCAGGCTCTGACAGGTGGAGCTCTATTACACTGGAATCCTCATGTTCCTTGGGGTCAGTGGTCAGAGACAGGGATGACACACAGACACACAGACAGGCAGACAGACAGGCAGACACATGCACACCCGGGCTCCATGTGACAAACTGTTGAGCTTTATTGATCAGACCCTTCTTATATAGGAAGTTTGAAACTCCTGGCTCTAGGCAGCTCATTGGCCTGAGCCTCCCACAGCCCAGCTCCTGAGCAGTGAGATGCCTGCAGCACTAAGTGGAACGTGGTAAGTGAAGGTCCCAGTCTGTCAGCCCAGGACTCCAGTGCCACAGAGCTGCTGGAGCTGGCATGCACACTGCACCTTGCTGCTCACAGCTTCCTTTAGGCCAAGCAGCTCAAGGGAGGCACATAGAGCTTTGTGAGCCTCCCCAGGGGCTGAGGTCATTGCAACACGTCCAGCCCCAAACCTTAACAGGGCAGTTCTGCTGGCCAGGAGTTTGTGTTTCTACAGCTGGACATCACTTAGAGCTTGTTGGCCGCTCTGTTTCACAGATTAAATCTCCCTCCTTGCTGATCAGGTGTGCAGGTTACAAAGATCAAACAGCAAAGAACATGCTATCTCAATTCAAATTTGCATATTTCACATTTAGCAACAAGATGATCCGAGAAGCAGGACTGGCACAGAACAAACATACTTGGTGACCACCTTGGAAAGGCAGTTATAGTAATAATGGACAATAGAAATTAACTTCAAAAAAAGATTAAGGCTTTTTTTGACAGAATGTGAAGAACAGAACAGCAGCTGTGCTTACTGAATAGTATCAGTAAATATGCTGCTAACAATTTCTTCAACTACAGGTGCAGCTGGGAATCTGAACCAAGTGATCATGAATACTAAAGCCATGAAATAAAATGAATATATAATGAATAAAATAAAATTAACATAATGGAAGTATCTGCTGTTTAAATGTAGCCTATTCAGTGTGGCCATGGTGTTATTCCTTTCCCAGCTCTTTGACAGCGTGCCAGTCTTTATGTCTGGGGTTTGAAATCCAGAGATGGACAGAACACTTCCTCTCCCACAGTCAGAAATGACTTTGTTATCATGTGTGCCTAATGAGAGACCTCCCTTCTACCCAGGACTTGTACTTACGGCTTTGCATTCCCAAAGACACGGCACTTCTTCTGTCTTGTTAGGATAATGATTTTTGTGAATGTACAAGGACAGACATATTGATTCAACAAACACACCACTAATGGACATAAAGGCTGTGTCAGACCAAAACAAGGGAAGTGGTAAGAAATGTGTGACAGAACTGGCAGGATGCTTGCTGCAATGAGCTGTTACTAACTGCCACAACTGGTGTTCTTCACAAGCTATGGAAAATGCACCAAAGGGGGTGGCCTTGACACTGCTTGAGATCCACAGGTGTGCAAATGCAAGTCAAGCCAGAGGTGAGGAGGAAGAAGACGACACCTACAAAGAGTCAACACCTGCAGCAGGAGCTTGGGCTGTCCCTGTGAGAGCCCCCTGGGTGCTGTGGGATGTGGGAGCTGGGCACCAGGTAAAGGGGTGGTTGGAGTAGGGCTGTTTGTTTGTTTGTGCTCATGAGGAGAGCTCTCCTGTTTTCCTGGATTCCCACATTGTTCATTTGTGTCTGCTTCCATGTAACTTGGCAAAAAAGCCACTTCCCTCCCTGTGTGCCCTGACCCATTCCCCAGCTGTGGGAGGCTGGGGGTGCACATTCTGCATGTCAACAGATCTCCCCCCTGGTGGTGCTGAGCCAACGACATGCAGAAGTGATTTGATGGCTGCTCTGCTGCCTTCAGGCTATTTCCAGTTAAAGGGAGCAGAAAGAGTCTCTAGGAAGGCAACTGACCATGTTCCTCTGAAAGAAGAAGGCAATAAGCATATAAAATACTCTGACACTTATGGCATGTTCTGTATAGATAATTTCTTACAGATTTCAATTCATTTGCCCATTCCCATGTCATTATTCACTTTTGATATGCCCTGAGCAGGTACCATGGTCTGTCTGGACCTGGAAACATTGTGGGGGTTTTTTTCTGCTTGATTCATGAAATAGTGATTTTCAGTCTGACAAACATTCCAAATGCCCCTTGTTTCTCTCCCTTCGCTGTGATTAGGGGAGCAGATTACATAAGAGCGAGTTAGAAGGGATTGTTACTCTGTATCCTGACTAACTCGGTTTGTTTGACTTTCCCTTGGGTTTTAAAAGCAAACTGTACCCTCCACAGCTCTTATAAATCGGTGTGTTTTGTCCTTCCAGTCTGGCTTTGTTTCATGAGCTGTTGCCAAAACTGCATTCTATGTTCTTTCAGTTTCTCTGCTGCCTTTTGCTCCAGGTCTATTCCCAGGTATTTTTCCTCCAGGTCATACAGGGGCCAATGGACCAAGCCCTCTCCGTTGGGATTTCTGGAAATAATAGAAGGAAAAGTTAGCTCTCTGTTTGCCAATCCATTGCTCTCTGACTGCTCAGGTTCAGAGCATTTCAGAAAACCAAGAGATGAGCCCAGATGATGTGATTCTGGTACCTGAATAAATGGACAGTGTTTTATGAAAATGCTGATCAGTGGAACAGCAAAAGTCTAAGAGTTGCCATTAATTTGAGATCTAAACCTCCATTGCAGATGGAGTAACTGCTCTTAGATTTTTTTAGTGCCTCGTGTCTGCAGGTTCTTTTAAAAGATCATTAAGAAGATAAATTGCTTCAATATTTAACTTAAATTCTGCCAAATTTCTAGGAACCACCATATAAGTAGTGCTTCAGGCAGGTAAGTATGTTCTGGGCAGCACAGACTAAACTTGAGCTGCAACTAGCATTGTGATTCTCACCCGTTTTTAGCAAAGTTGGTCCAGTATCTCATGACAGTTCTGCTCAGTTTATCTTCTTCTTTTGTAGCACCTCCTGCAAAGGGAGAGATGAAACAGCCACATTAGAAAGGAAATAATTAGTATCAGCTATATCAATTGCAACACTTCTCCTGGTTGCCCTGAGCTGTTGGGAGTTTTTCCTAGGAGAGACCTGCAGATGAATGATGTAATGAAAAGTATCTACTAGTGAAGACAGAAATTGTTGATGCTCATTATAATGCTTATGATCTATAAGTTATACTTATATAAATATATTGTTTATAATGCTTCAAAGAGAGAAATTCTGTTCTAAAGCCCTGCAGTAACTGAAATGAGTAATAATGAGGTTCTGAAAGGAATAAGAAGTAAGCATGGGTACATCACCTGCTAAGAATGGCTTTCCAAAGACAAAGGCAATCTCAGCTCCGTGATCTGCTTTTACAAACTCTGGTACCACACCTTCCACTGAACTCGGTCGATGTTGGAATTCATAGAAGTAGACTGGGTTGCCAGCATCTAGAGGATACAGAAAAGTGCTGCTTTGAGAGCTGAAAATATCTGCTCCAGAGATGATAAACTTCCATGAAAAACTGTTTTGGTTAAATGAAAACACTGCCAGTTCTCTGGATAGTGAAAAGTGCTGCACACTGGCCAAACCAGCCCCAGACAGAGTTCTACAGCTGTTCTGGAGCTGCTGGCTTACCTCTGTGGTATCTGGCCACTTCCACAGCTGAGATGACAAAGTAGACATCTCCCATTGCATCCAGGAGGCCATCTCGGACCTGAGCAGGGCTTTCTGCATGCCCCATGTACTCCTTGTACACTCTGTCTACAACTTCAGATGTAAGGCCCTGAAACAGCAAGAAAAAGTACTTGTAAGGATGAGTATTATGAGGAGTAACAGCAGTGAGTGAGTGTGGCATCTGCACATCCCTGGCAAAACCTCAGCAACAGCTTTCAGAGAAAACCCTCAGCTGTGCCAGAGTGTGGCTTGGAGCTCAGGATTGCAGTTACACAGCTCTGGGTACGGGTGATCTCAGGGAAAAGAGGGATGCAAGATCAAAGGATCAACCACCTTCAGACAAACAGCAGTCAGTGATGCTGATTGTTCTCTCTACTGTGGAAACACCTTCATAACAGCACAGAAATCCTGCTGGATTCCATAAACTCCATTGATTGTTGTAGCTGACCATAATTTCTCCCATTCAGAACAAGCCTGGGCTCTGCATTTCCAAGTCCATGGTGGAGGTTGGTGTCATTGAATGATCCTTGTAAGTACTGGCCCTGCTTCCAGAGTCCTTAATTCTTACCTCTTAATCTGTTTCTCTAGGTAGCAGTTTCAGGAGAGTACAAAGGCACCACAAAGCCAAGAGATTTGTACTATACAGGGAAGCAAAACCTCAAGAAACCTGAACAAAGGTGTCAGTGCTCCCCAAACCTCTCGGGCTTTCCTTTCCAGAGCCCAGCTGCTGCTTTAGGAGGTCGTGTCCCATTGGTCTCCTGCCATACCTGCTGGCACTCTGCACGTCTTGCACAACCTGGGGGTATCTAAAATGTCCCAGGGACCTGTGTTTAGGTACTCCTGGATTGCCACTGAACTCCTTTTTAAGAAGAGGGGCATTTAGGCTGGAAATGTAGAGAGTATTTCCAGTCACTAGAGGTAACAGGAATGCAGCACATCTGTGCCCATGTCTGCCCCAATTCAGGGAGCTGTCCAGCACAACGGCATTTCCCTGTGAAATGTGTCCCTCCAGGGGTAATAACAGCCAGAGCAGCACAGCAGCAGCACTGGGGTATTCTGTATGGATATGGGCTATTCTGAAACTGGTCTCTTACCTTATTTAATTTTGCTAAATTGCTCTTTAAAATTTGACGTGCAACATCTTTATCCAGACCATCCACGAAAGGATATTTCATTGCCTGTATGATACAGAGAATCATACTTAATAAAACATCCTCTATTTACAAAATGATGTTTAAATAACAACAATATAATTCTCTTACCATAGGAATTACCCATCCGAATTCACAGTTATTTACTCCTATTATGTATGGGACCTCATTCATTGATTTTTCAGATAGCAATTCCTTGGGACTTTTTGGAAAAAATGCACCATCTACACAAGTATTGATCAAAAAAAAATCCTGAACAAAAAGAGAATAAAGAAAAAGAAAGCTTCATTAAAACATTCATTCTGCCTCTTAAAGAAGTTCAGATTTTTACTGCGGTTCCAAACTGAACCCAAATGTATATACAACAAATAATATTATCCAAGCCATGTTAAATTTTTTTTCTGACTGATTTTCTGCACTAGGCAGGAGGTTCTGTGAAGATTAACATTATATTTCTATTGTTTGTGAAGCAGAAGTTATTATGTTGAATTTACATTTTTCTTAGTTCAATATGGGCATAGATGTGTGGAACAGTGGGGAAAAACCACTTCTGTATTGAAAATTCAAAGGAACATAAGCATTGTGATAAGAACTTTTAAGCAGGACATAATATATGGTTTGATTTTCAGTTCTCCAGAATCATCTGTGCCATTTTCTTTTCCTTGCCCTGGGAGAGCACAATAGCAAACCACAGGTGATTCCAAGTGCAAGCAGAATGGAAGGGCAGGAACCTGTTTGCAATTTTCAGGCAAGGTGTCATTGCACACCTACAATGCTGTCATGTCCTGAAAAACCAAGAAAAGTCACATTTTACATCCACTTCAGGTTCAAATATTAAGGCCCACAAAGAGCTTTTGTTATGCAAACGTCTGAAGTGTCATTGAAATGCACAAAGTATCATTTCACCTACCATTTTCAGTGTTATCTGTAGTAGTTCTTCTTCTGTTTTTCCTCTCAAGCATTCAACCATTGCAGCGGAACTGGACTTTTCACAGCCAGAGGCAGCAGCAATTTTCTGCAAGCAGTGAGAACAAACAGTTTTGGACACGTTTGCTGTGTCTGGCTCTGCGACAGTGAGTCCAGCAGGAGCAGGCAAAGCTCCTGCACAAGGGTTGCTGGAGCCTGCCTTGTCCCAGCTCCAGAGGGAGGGCACTGGATGCCCTCACAATCCTTCACACCATGAGCTGGGCAGAAAGGGAAAACCTCTTCCTTCAGCCTTTTTTGATACAGAAATATTCTAAGACAATTGTGGTAAATAACAGGCTGGGCTGAGGAGGCTGGGTGACATGAAGGAGTTAGAGAATAAACCATCTGCAGGGGAACAGAGAGCTGTCATTAGAGAGAGCTGTCTCTTATATCCCAGGTTCCAGGTTCTGGAAATTGTTCCTTGTAGTAAAGGAGTAGAAGCCTATAGTTCTCAAATTAAAAAAAAAAAAAAAAATAGCAACACATCCTTAAACATGTACTGCTTGCACACAGAAATACTGTCTTTAGTGTCTGCTTTGATTCACAAGGAAGAAACCATGTTTCTATATTTTGGACAGAACAGCTTAAGATACACCTTTGAACTACCTGGGAAAAGTAATTAAAATTACCAAAAATACCCACTTGTGCATCCTCCTTAGGCTGGTCAGTGAACAAGCCCAGGGTTACAGTGCCACTCTCTGAAATGGCCTTGTGGAACAAGCCCTTGGCCAGGGGAGATAAGACCTGTGAAAAAGCAAGAACAAGCATGTCAAGCACTGTGTTCTAGCCAGGGATTTTGGATTTCAGTATCAGCAGTGGCCACTTGGAGTATTTTGAAAGCCCATGTGGTAAGAGTGTCTTTGTGTAACTTCTGACCATAGTCCAGCTGTGCAAAGTGCTTTGGCAGCACTCACAGGGATGAGGAGTTCAGTGCCTTTCCCCTCCCACTGCACTTTGCTTCCAAAGCTTCCTGGCACCACCCTGCAAGGCAGGTACAGAGGGAATGTGCCCAAGGCAGTCTGCTCTGCTGCAGAAGGGCAGGAAAGAGCTTCTGGCCAGAGGAAACTGGGATTTGTCTGCCATGTACAATGGAGCCTGGCTGGGCTGTGTCACCTGTACCAAAGTGGGAGGGACGGGACAAGGGCAGCGTCACAGCCAATGTGCTCTGTGCTGGAGTAAAGATGTTACACAGTCACTGGTCACAAACTGCAGGGCTGCATCAGCTACCAGGACTATTCACCTCCATCACTTTGCACAAGTGGCTGTCAAAGCAAACAGAAAATGGGCACGAGCCCACAACTCCTTGTAAAGGACTTTTCTCAATGAGCTTAGACTTTGAGAGCTTTTTACATTGAAAAAAAAACCAAACCAAGCAGAATTCAATTCAGCAGATAAGGAATGACATGCTGTTACTTAACTACAACCTTGGAGTATGAAAATTACACGTTTATCATTCAAAATCTGTATTGTTTTCCTGTACTGCTGCCTCATTGTTGTCTCAAATACCCAGGTGATGTGTCACTGTAACACCATCCCTTGTCTCTCACTGACTTCTCATGCAGATACTGAAAATAGATGAAATAAGTAATCTCTAAGTAATTCAAGTTTCATATTGCTGTGAACTTACAAGAGCAGAAACACTGATTCCTCCTGCAGATTCTCCAAAGATGGTGACAGATCCTGGATCTCCACCAAAATGCATGATATTTTCCTGAATCCACCGAAGAGCTGCTACTTGGTCTAAATATCCCCAGTTACCTCGGGCATGCTCATCACCAGTGCTGCAGGGACAGAACAGCTTTGTTCAAATGCTCAGTGCAGGCAAAGAGGCAGAAGGAAATACAATCTGTGGTGTGAGCAATCATCTGCCATTCTCTACACAGAACCTCTCTACACAAGTGACAGATGAATGGCTCGGGAAGCCCTGAGACTGGAGCAGCAGCCCCACAAGAACAGATCTGGAAGCTGCCTTGGGACTGGAAATTGTCCCCAACGCTTGCAGGTGCAGTTCAGAAATGTTTCTTTGCATAAGCAAGTCTTCTGCACTCCTCTTTACAAAGGCTTTGCACACATCCTTTTGGAAATCACGTTGGCAAAACAGATCAACCAACTTACCTAAAATATCCAGCAATACCTAGTCTGTACTGAATTGTTACAACCACCACGTTGTCAAAGGCTGCTATTGCTGAGCCATCATATGATGAAGCTGCTCCAACAAGTAATCCACCTCCATGGATCCATACTAAGACCTGGGAAGAGAAAAACGGGATCAACCCAGCACAGGTAAGAGCCCCCGGTAATAAACACTCATTATAGCCCAAGATATAATATTTTGTGCTATTTCAATCCTGATTCTTTCAGAATACATTTCAGTTATTGCAGAAATCTTCTAATTCTAAGGCCTGCAGGTCTACAAAGTGGCACTGATTTTGTTAAGTGCCTACACTGTGTCAGTGCCCTGTGACTTTGGACAGATCATTTAGATTAAATCTAGCGCTGCTTAGTTACAATGACAATACAATTTTACTTGTAAAACAGGATTTTGTGTCTCTTTCCAATTTCAGCTAATATTTGCTGGGGCCAAGCATGTGAGTTGATCATCACTACAAAAGTGCCCCTGCACGTCTGCTCATGGCACAGGTTGAGTGTTGGCTGTCAGATCATTTTGCTCAAGGTGTTGTAAGATTTTTGCTTACAGGCAGCTTCTCCTGTTTTCCTGTAGAAACCGGTGTGTACACATTTAGGTACAGGCAATCCTCAGACACTCGCAGAGGAACTTTCTCTTTTCTGTTGGTAATCATATCTGAAATATTCTGTCCTTGTACTTGGTCTTGTAGACACCTAAATAAATGGAAAGTAACAAGCAAGAGAATTCACTAAAACCAGAAAACTGTGAAGAGAACTTTATTGTACTTCCACAACAAAGTGCCAACGAGAAACCAATCTCTAGCACACTTCTAGATTGGTCACAACTGCAAACATACTGGTTTTTTGCTTTTAGTATGTTTTTTTTATTTGACTAGTCATTAGTGAGATCTGTAAAAATAAAGCCTCTGCAGTACAGAGTGACATGTAGATACACTTTAGCATGTTTCAAAATATCACAGAACTATATCACCAAATACATATGGTGTGGTGGCTTGCATGGGAGGCATTCACGGAAGTGCTGCAAAGCTTCTAGCCCCTGGAAATCTGTACATGTTTCTGTGATGGACACGTGTTAAAGACAAAGGAAACGCAGGAACTTCCTCGTTCTGCTCCCGTGGGCACACGGGTGCCGGGGCCGAGCCCTGGTCGGGGCCCTTTCCTGGGGCGCCCACCCCATCGGGGCTGGCCCGGGCAGGGGAGCCGTGGGGCCGAGGCGGCCCGGGCCGTGGCTGCCATTTCGTGCTGCCAGCCCGGGGCCAGCCGAATCCAACCGCCCCCAGGAGCAGCCCCGGGCCGGGCCAGCTCAGCCAAGAGTCTGCCACTGTTGAGCTTCGGCCATGACCCCTGTAGAGGGGGAGGAGAAGCCATCAGCCCCCCCAGCCACGGCTCTGGCTGCAAGGTCCCCAGCCCGGCCATGCCAGTGACCATCAGCAGGCCCGGGCAAGACGTTTACTTGTTCAGTGCTTCCATCCTCCCGCACGTGAGAGAAAATAACAAAAGGCAATGTAGAGGAGCAACATGAAGACACATAAGTCAGTGAAGAAGTCCCAGATGGGAGGGATGAGGAGATGCCTTGATCCTGGGGCTGAAATCCTCTTGTAAAGCTATGGAGAAAAGACTTTTTCACTATAACGTGTGAAGGTATGGGGAGTCAAAAGTGTTCAAATTGTAGATATTGAGCAAAGGCCTCCATACTAAGTAAGCAGATATTAAAGTAGCTGTGATCCTGTGAGAAGTTTGAACAGAGAAGGAGAGAAGAGTGATGAAAATCCTGTGCCCCCAGGAAGAAGAGGATTTCTGAGATAGATAGTGAGAACCTTTGCCTTTGAATAGGTCACTTTAAAACAGTACCCCATAAGTTGACATGGCCCATGACCACAGCTGTGGGAAAAGCTTGTGGAAAATGGAAAGGATTTCATGATTGCAGATTTCCAGAGATGGCTGCTATTCATGAAGAGAGCCACAAGAGAACTGTTTTCTTGTGGAGAAGACTCCATAACATTAACAAGAGGAACTACTCTCTGTAAGTGAATTGAAGAAAAGATTATTCTAAAGGTGGTAAAATGAAATTTAAGGTTTTGTTTCTTTACATTGTCATTGGGAAAGAAAAGGTTCTGAGGAGAGGAGAAGGATCCTGAAAATTTTGTTCTGATTCTTATTACTCTTTCTTTTAGTAACTGTTAATAAGATTTTCTTTATATTCTTTTAATGTTTTGAGCCTGCTTTGCCTTCCTCCTGGTCCTAGCTCACAGCAGAAAATGTGTGAGTGCATTTTAGTGAGTGCAATGATGATTGACCAGCACTGAACCCACTAAACTCACTGGGGCATTGGCCGGGAAATCTCAAACTGGTGAACCAAAACTACTACAGTATGGCTATAAATTACTTCAATGAAAATGTAAATTAATCATTTCACATCTCCAATAGCTTTTTACGTTGCAATGGTAGATATTAGGCTTGAGTCACACAACAAGTGCAGTAGGACAACAGGAGTGAGACATTTACAAGGTAGCTTAGGATTGCTTTGCATTTCCTATGTGCCCTTTTAAGCACTTGATTCAGCATTTCCCCCCTAATGTTGTATTCCAACATTTCCTCAGCTTCTTTCTGTCTCTGCTCCAGAGGTTTAAAGTGATGGGTAAGTGCTCATAAGCCAGAGCACTGCCTGCAAAGGGCTGCTCCATCTCAGTTCATCACTGATGCCTGTGAAAGAGCAGCTTTTGGGAAGGAGCAGCTCACAGAGTGTCTTTAGAAAAGCATCCACTGGAACAGCTGCAGGTGCAACGAGAGGGCACCAAGGAATTTGTCTGTGTGGATGGCCCTGTGTGCACATCAGTGCCATGGAGGTGCACAGAGTATAACATCTAGAAAGGTTCAGTGTTTGATCATTGCCTTACATTGGTGGGTAGGAAGTGGCATCTCTGACACCTTCCCAAGGCTCCGGTGGCTGGGGTTCAGAAAACCTCAGGGATCCAAGCGGAGGCTTAGCAAAAGGAAGTCCCAAAAAGACATTTACAGTCCTCTCAGCTGTGTCCACTGTGAATGGGTAGCCTCGGACTCTCCCATATTTGGTCTCCGCTTCTGGTTCTCCTGTGGGACAGCAGCACAAAATCACATCATTGCTCTGTTTGGAAGTAATTGCTAGATTTGCTACTTAAATATACACCTTTTGTTCCCTTAAACAAGTAGTTTTTATACGTAAAGCTTCAACAAACTCTCATCAGATTTAACAGTACGCTATTCCAATATGCTATTTTTTTTTTACTCCTTTATTTTACTAATTTCATTACTAGTGTTTACTTGTTTAAATTTTAGATTTACTAATTTATTCTAACACATTTTATTATACCTTTATTAAATCATTGTAGCTGACATTATTTCAGCCTTCATTTTGATTGGTCTGTATGTACAATCTCCTTCAGGTATGTAATTTGCACTGTCTCACCACACACATTTTAGAGGTTGCATATAGATCTTAATGTTTTGTTTTGCGCTGGGTTGTTACGTAAAACCCCGATAGGTTGCTCTCATTAAGAAAAGACAATAATCAGAGAAAATATATTCCAGACCCTTGATAAAGCTTCTAACATAGCTAAAATAGTCTGGCACAAACAAATCCTGTTAACATTTAAGCAAGAATCATTTTAAGATCTGTGTGAAAGTTCAAACATCAAATTAGAGATGTGGTACTGTGGCTGTTTGGCCTTAGCAGGCAAGGTTTTGGGACAAGGATTTGATTTTGCTATTTGCAAAGAAGGCAAGTAAGACAAATGACTGAAAGCAGATTAAAATCTGAAATGCAATTACTGCTACTGCAGCTCAGTTTGTGTTCCCTGTTCAGCCCAGGGTTTGTGCCCATCTCTGCCCAGGGTTTTTGGTCATCTCGGCACAGGATTTCTGCCCAGCTCAGCCCAGGTTTTATGTTCAGCTCTGCCAAGAGATTGTGCCCAGGTGTCCCCAGGGTTTGTGCCCATCCCTCCCCAGGGTTTGAGCCGATCACTCCCCAGGGTTTGAACCCATCCCTGCCCAGGGTTTGTGTCACGCCCTTACCAGGGTCTGTGCCCATCCCTGCCCAGGGTTTGTGCCCATCACTCCCCAGGGTTTGAGCCCATCACTCCCCAGGGTCTGTGCCCATCCCTGCCCAGGGTTTGTGCCCATCCCTGCCCAGGTTTGTGCCCATCACTCCCCAGGGTCTGTGCCCATCCCTGCCCAGGTTTGAGCCCATCCCTGCCCAGGGTCTGTGCCCATCCCTGCCCAGGTTTGAGCCCATCCCTGCCCAGGTTTGAGCCCATCCCTGCCCAGGTTTGAGCCCATCCCTCCCCAGGGTTTGTGCCCATCTGTGCCCAGGGTCTGTGCCCATCCCTGCCCAGGTTTGAGCCCATCCCTGCCCAGGTTTGAGCCCATCCCTGCCCAGGGTTTGTGCCCATCCCTGCCCAGGGTCTGTGCCCATCCCTTCCCAGGGTTTGTGCCCATCCCTGCCCAGGTTTGAGCCCATCCCTGCCCAGGGTTTGTGCCCATCCGTGCCCAGGGTTTGAGCCCATCCCTGCCCAGGGTCTTTGCCCATCCCTGCCCAGGGTCTGTGCCCATCACTCCCCAGGGTTTGTGCCCATCCCTGCCCAGGTTTGAGCCCTCTCTCGGTGGCCCCGGGAGGCAGCTGCAGGTGCCCTCTCGCCCTCCATGCCCGGGGCAGTGGCCCCGGTGTTTACCTGCGGCCCCCAGCGCCGTGCCCCCGAGGAAGAGGACGCAGGCCAGCAGCGCCGTGTCCCTCGCAGCTGCCATGGTGCCACTGGCCCCGAGCCCGCTGCCCGGCCTTTATCGGCTGCCCTGGGCCCCTTCCGCAAGGCGCACCCGGGCGGGCGGGGCCGTGCCCGCTGCGGGCCGGGCCGGGCCGGGCCGGGCCCTCCTGCCCCGCGGGGAGAGCCGCTGCCTCCCGCCGCTCCTCCCGAACGGCACCGCCGCAATCCCGGCACAGCGGCTCCAATCGCTCCGCAGGCCCCTCGCATTCCCGAGCGCTGTCCCGCTGCTGCAGCACCCCCGGCTGCCGCCCCAGGGCAGGGTTTGCTCGCCCTGCACTGCACACGGCCGCGGGACACCTCGACTCCAGCTGCTGACATCTGCTTCACTTGGTGTTAGAT